ATCCATCCATCCTTCCATCTCCATCATTGGTTGATTGATTAATCGATTTGTATTCTGGCTCCTCCTACAGGGTGCGATGGCGGCCACCTACTCTGCCCTTAACAGGAATGTCCCCCCAGTCCTAGAGCCGGTGGGCTGCTCCACTCTGGCCCAGCGGCGAGGGTTGAAGAAGATCACTTCCACCGCTCTGTGACCTCCTCTTTCTCCTCCGCCTCCTTCTTTTCTTCCTCCTCCCGTCAACTCTGACCTCGATCTGACCTCCGCCGGACCTTCCCTCTCCCTCACTTCGGTCCGGTGGGACAGACTACTGATGGACCTGGGAACCGCTAACGCCAAATAGGAGCACAGAGGCCGCCCCCCTCCCTCCTCGATCTCTCCTTCACCTCTGCGGGCTCTTCTGATTGGATCTCTTCTGCTGTCTTACCGTAGAGTCTCAGCTTTAGCATCACTGTTCAGCAGCCGGACTCAGCTGTCGAGAAAACCTTAAAGGGCGAGCCCTACGTTTCTCTTCTCTTTTTGCTTTGGACAATCAGCGCTAGCTCGCAGACCCAGAGGGCGAGTGCGCGTCAGGAAGATAAAAGTACTGTATTTATTTACTCCAGACGGGGGAAATCATAGGAACAAAGTAATGTAAGGTATGCATTTAAAGAGCTAGAGTCTTTGTTATCATACTGTGGTCATGGTTCTGCGTAGCTGTAGATCCTGCATTTAAACCTCAAGTAGCCTGAGAGACGATGGCGTCTGCAGAAAAGGACAGACGGTGGGAATCACGATAAACACGAGCAGCCTCAGCCTCAAAATGATTTTAAAATCCAAAAAGCTAAAGCAGCGTGTTGAGGTCACTGAAGGTCAAAAATTACATAAACATTAGCTTAAAGTCCTAAATTTATGAGTAGAAAATGACAAAATTAAGAGAAATGAAACAGCAAATGTTGATGGGAAGAATTCCAGTTTTACCTGAAAAAGAAAATAAATAAAAACAAATAAATAATTTAATGAGGGAAAAAAATGTGAAGATTAGTAAGAAAAAAATGGCAAATTTACCAGAAAAAATGAAAACACCTCGCCAGTTAATCTGAAAAAATCCCACATTTTGAAAAACAATTAAATTTTCACTTTTATTGGCTCTGTGTGGCCCCAGACGAAAACATCATGCATATCCATGCTCTGTAATCACGTCACACACAGTGGCACAAATGCTTTTCTCATAAATTTGCCATTTCGTTAAGAAAAGTGAATGAAATCGATTTTATTTAACCTTCAGTAACCTGCTGCAACCGTCTGCAGCCTGTGTTGTTTTTGTCGGACAAACTGAAACCCGCTTTCCAGTATTTTAACTTTAATGTGCAACAACAAAGCAAAGAACAAACATCTGAGCCGTGTTGTAGTCCAGAGTGTTTGACGGTGGGTCGTTCAATCATCCAGGCAGCAAACGTGACGACACCTCCAGATATTTTTTCTTACTGCCAATAAATCCCATGATAAGATACTAGAATCACTGTTTGCTGGGATTTGTTGTCAGCAAGAAAAACATGATCGGATTTATTCTTTGAACAAACAGAGATCCAGGAAATCACAGAAGAGTGATGAAGTGTGGAAACAACACTTGGAGCAGAAAGAGCCCACTCTGTCTTTGTAACAGTATCAATTTTAAGCTGCACATGTTGAGCTTTTGCTGCCACCTGGTGGCCACGGGAGGGCTGTGCTTCTGAAACGCTCCCAGAGTAGTTTTGTCATCAGTATAACGTCTCCTGGACACTCTGGTCTGATATTTAACACTATTGTCCTGTTATTTTACTCTTTAATCTGGTTTTTAAAGATCTTAATGTGGTGAAGGGCGGTGCTCCCTCCTCCTCCTCAGGAGACTGGAGGCAAAGCTTGAGCCTATCAGCAGCTGGGATTTCAAATTTTAGCACTAAAGCTTAAATAAAAATGTCAAATATCCAAATAATTACCTTTATCTGAACTTCTGAGCGTGATCAGAGAGCTGCTGATAAAACCCTGAAACATGAGTAAAATCAGGTGTTTGTGGAGCAGGGCCAAGCTCCTCTGACTTAAAGCTCCTCTCTGGCTTCTCTTGTGCAGTTTTAGGATGTGCCAGTAAATTTAAAGCAGAAGAAGAGGCCACAGAAGCAGCTTTAACTCTGAGTTTTCTCCTTCTTCCTTCACAAACACAAACTAAAACGATGTGTTGCCTGTAAATGAGGCTGACGGGTGAAAAAGGCGTTTCTCGCCTCCACCGATGGTCACGCGACGTCTGTACGAGCCGGCTGATCTCCTCCTTACGTGCAGCAGAACTGTAAATACAGAACATGTCGAGCAACTCAGGTTTCTATGAATCAAGACAATGCATTTTTATACGTCCAGGAGGAGGGGGTGTACATACAAATGTTAAAAACAAAGCACACGAGTGTGAGTGGAAGAAGGCGAGCGAGGCACAGAGAGGTTTATCAGACCTGATATGAAACAACTCCAAAACCTGAATCCTTGTTTTCATCTTTGCTGATGTTTATTTTATGATTTAGACGTCTTACATTTACTTTTCGACGTGTTTCTTTTAAGTCAAACTCTTCTGTCTCGACTGCTGTGGCGCTGTTTCTGCCAGGTGAGCTGGCGTCTGGTGCGTTTCCTGTTTTTGTGTCAGCAAACCCTTTAAAAATCTGAGAAAAAAACACTTTTAAAAACATTCCAGCAGGAGTCGAAACTACCGGCAAACCACGTTGGGCGTGCAGTCGGAGGTCCAGTGGTGGAGAAATCAGTGAAAGGGTCAGTTCACTGAAACTTGTGGACGATCTGTGTGAAAAGAATTAGTTCTAGCCACTAAAATACAAACATGTCCATCTTTTCTACATTTAATATCTCGTTAAACTGAAGGTCTTTGGGGTTAGGCCCCAATGAAACACTTCCAAGAACAAATATCTCATTAATTGTGTCAATATTGGACTTCATCGTCATCACAGCTCGCTGATTTTACATCCTGGATCGATACGAGCACCGACGGCGCTGCCAGACGTTGTTACGGCTTGTTAAATTCCTCCGAAGCTTCCTCGTGTCCGCAGTGTTGGGCATTCAGGGCCGTTACGCTCCGCCCCCTCTGCGCACGCGCCTCTGCTGCAAACAAGCGAGCGTCACATAAAGCAAAAAGCGCCGGACTCAGACTGTGCGAGCTCGTTTTCCACCAGCAGAAGAAAAACAAAAATCATGTTTAAGTTGCTTAACGGTGTAAATCATTTATGTTCAGATGGAGGCTCCAATTAAAAATTCTAAATTATGAGAAAACGTCCAGTTTTAAAATAGAAACTGGAAATTTAGAAGTAAACTGTCCCTAATGAAGTTTTTAGATCAAAATGCTTTTAAACGAGTCACGTGTTAAAGATGAAATTATGATATAAGGAGTCCAGATTTTTTTAAAAATAATAGTGAGACAAAGTTTCAACATAACATTTTAGGCTTTAGAGATTAAATATGAGATTAAAATGTGAAATATTAAAAGGTAAAGTCAGATTTTGAAAAACAAAAGTGGAAAATGTCAATAAAAAGTTCAATTTAAAGCCAAATTCCATTTTTCTAGTTGAGATTTAAACAGTTATGAGCTAAAAATGATTATATATATTATAAATTATAAAAAATAATAGTGAGACAAAGTTTCAACATAACATTTTAGAGATTAAAATGTGAAATGTTAAAAGGTAAAGTCAGGTTTTGAAAAACAAAAGTGTAAAATGATTATATATATTATAAATTATAAAAAATAATAGTGACAACATAACATTTTAGAGATTAAAATGTGAGATTAAAATGTGAAATATTAAAAGGTTAATTCAGATTTTGAAAAACAAAAGTGTAAAATGACACATTCCCAAAAAACAAATCAAATTATGAGAGAAGTTGTTTTTAAAATACACGTTTGTATTCATCGTACATTAAAAAGTCATATTTCATTAAAAAGCTTATTTTAAACTCAAACACAAATCTTTGAAATGAACTTTTCATCTCTGTTATGACATTTTAAGACTTTTATCTCTGAATTAATTTCTGATATTTTCAACTCAGTGAGACGTTTCTTTCTCCGTCGGGAACATTTTTTGGAATCGTGGCCAGTTTTTGTTCGTCTTTTCCTGGTGGAGACGATCTTCCACAGCCGCTGAGCTTCTTGCTTCTGCGGGTCAATGATTAGAAACTGCTTCCTCTCTGTGGTCGTCTGGGTGTCTGTGAGAAAAAGGGATAAAATGCAGATTTTCTTTATGTTTTATATATAATTATTGAATATATATGTAAGTGTTGATCTCTTCCTCGTCTATCCATGTACAGCTCTGGGATGATGAAACGCTGATTTTGTTTTCCCCCTTCATGACCAGAGGTCTAGCTTTCTTTCTTCTCTCTTCATCCTCGCTCCTCTTCCTCTCCTTCTCTGATCTGATCCTGTCGGAGACGCAGTCAGCCCTGCTGCTACGCCAGCTCTCAGTTTTTGTACCTGCGGCGAGAGCTGGACTTTCTATTAAAAACAATAAAAACAATAATCAGTCAAAGAGTGTCGTGCTTTGATCTCCCTGAAGCTGTTACCTCATTTCTTTCTAAAAAAACATGTTCTCACTTTCACGTTGTTACAACTGACACCAGAGACACTTGAATTTAAATGTGAAAGCATAATAACCTAAAAATGATACTGCAGAGAGCAGGAAGTGGCATCTCCACCAGGTCTGCATCCACACACAGCTGACAGCTGATCCCTGGGAACACTTTTTAATGAGCATTAAATCAGTGTGATTTTTACTTTAGCACAGCAAAAAGTGCCTGTTAGTTTACTGCAGACCTGGAGTGTAAATGTGCATTTGAAGCAGCTGGGTCAGCTCCTGTTGGTTCAATGTGCTGCAGGATAATAATAGTGCACGTTTGAGGAATATTTGTTACTTTATTTAACACAATTCACGGGGCTACATGCTGGACTTAGAGGACAGAAGCAAAGTTTGTCTCTGATGCCGATTCCAGTGTGTGTGGTGTCGATACCATGTTGTCTGCCCGCCTCACAGCTCAAAGACTGGAGAGCTGCAGATGGAGTGGACTGAGGACGACGTCGCCGCCATGCACAGCTGTCAAACCGCTCATGAGCCAAGAACTCAACTGTTGCTCGGAGGTCCAAAGTCCTGTCTTCAGATGAAAGTGAATTTTGCGTATCATTAGTAAGACGAAGATCCCAGAGCAGGGATGACAAACTTCTAACACTGTGGGGCAAACCAGTGAAACTCTTCTTTCTGTGAGTCTTTATCTTAACATGAGACGTCCAGTCTCAGCGGCACGCATCAGTTTCTCTGCAGTTTCTCTGCATGTTTAAATAGAATAAAAATCTGGTGCTCGGACTCTAAGTATAGTACTGTAGTTATAAAACAGGAAGTATTTGTTAACAAGGGTTTATTATTATTTGTTTTAACTTATTTTAAACTGAAATTTCATTAGTAGAAAGTGAAAAAATTGAACGTTTATGTCATTTAATTGTTTATCTGCTACTAAATTAAATTATAGTGACAAGGTCATGCTTACTACACATACACTACATTTGAAACTCCAAAACTTTACACCATCCTTCACATTTTCCAAAGCTGTCCACTGGGCTCTACTGGGGTCTTTACCGGGCTGATTGTGGCCCCTGGGCCTTATGTTTGACACCCCTTATCTGGAGCCTGGAAGAGGAAAGGAGAAGCCAAGGTGCCTGAAGTCCAGTGTGAGGTTTCTGTAGTGTGTGATGACGATGGTGCTGATGGTGCTGATGGTGGCAGATCAACAGGTCCGTAGTTAAAGCAGCATCCACCTGCAGATGTCAGAGCTGCTATGGACTCGGCACCTGTCCACAGAACCAAAGCGATACCAGATCAACATCTGCATCACCTCAGACTGCATTAATAACTACACCATGTTTAAATAAACCCCCTCCCTGCTCACACTGTGCTCTGAGTTTCCCTAAACCACTGCTAAGCTGAGAGTCCCTCCTCATATTTCATGTCATTAGTCCGATTCTGGAGGATTGTTATTAAATATTCATGTTTGAGGTATTAAATTGGCAGATGTAGTCATTTCCAGAAACTGGAGAGAGGAGGAGCAGCTCCACGGGGGGCGGGAGAAGTGAAAGTGAAAGTGCTGGACTCCATTTTGGAGCAGAGGAGCAGAAGGAGCGAAGCGAGGTGATCTCAGCGTAATGATCATTATTCTGCTGTCAGAGCGTCTCCGTGGGTGAAGCAGGGAAATAAAGACGGAGCTTTTCACCAGGCGGAGGATTCAAAAAGCTGTTTCACTCCCGAAACTGCCACGTGTCCTTCTTTCACTCTCAGACTGAGGGAACATGAGTGATTTGGCGGAAGAAGAGGACCGAAACTGCCCGCCTCTGCAGAGAAACCACCCCAGACATCATCCTCTCAGCGATCACCCCGGAGCCTGGGATCTAAAGTAAGACCCTGTTTTTGCCCAATGCTCATGCTGCTGCACCCGGAAGGGGAAAATCGTGCTGTGTGTCAGATCAGCTCCACTTCACTGCTGCACGAAAAACATCCGCGTATTTTACGCACATAGAAACATGCGTGGACTTTAAAACCAGCTCCTACGAAGTGCAGAAGTTTAACATGTTTAGGGAAAAAATGTCCCCACTAAACAAAACTTAAACTGAAAGAGGCAGAGCCGCCCTGTTACAGACCAGAGGGGCTGCGGAATGGATCCAGTCCAACACTCAGCAAAACCTGAAACCTCAGAGATTCAGTTGGTTATCAGCTGTGAATTCATCAAGGGGGGGGGGCATTGGCATCGACTTTAACAGCAGGAAATTAACTTTTCACAAAATTATTTTCTGCCTCTTTTTTTTTTTTGCCATATTTTTCAATTAACCTAAATTTGACAACAGCATAATGAAACTGGGAATTCTGTGTTAAATATGCCACCCCAATATTTTTACTTGCCCCCATATGGCCACCAGTATGAAAGAAATTCTGGTTGCACCCCTTTAATTCAGGCTCACACTAAAGGAGGCGTTTGCCATCATTTCCCCCAGAGTGGATCGATGACTGCCCGCCCCGGTCAGAGACATTACCAGAGGAGCGGCTGACTGAGATCCATCAACTACTTAAATCATATAAGAGCAGAAAGCAGCACGGATGCTGAATATCAGCCAAGAGCGAAATGCTGCATCGCTCTGCGCTGTCCTTAATGTAACATCTGCATGTTAGAGTAACTTTACACTGCAGCTCAGCTTTAAACTTGATCCATTAACATTAACTCAGGTCCAAGTAGCCTGACGAGGAGACGTGGAAATCACTTTAGGTTGTAGACAGATTAAAATTAAATTATTTTACTGACACTGACAAAAAAAGAGAGATTTGTAAGTCATTCCAATTTTTTAAATTTTACAATTTGTGATTTATTCTACATTTGTGCACAGACAGAGAGCGGCGTTTCCAGGATCCGACTGTTTGTCCATGAGGAGTGACATTTCCATAGAAGCCCCTCCAGACTTAAGGAATCAACCTGGACCCTCACACACAGAGTAAGACTCAGTTTGTGCTGTAAACAGAGGTGAAGGTGACTCAAGCGGGAGCTTGTTTCCTGCAGGAAGCAGGAAGAAAACTAAGAATGCATTCCCATGAACACAGCAAAGCTTCAGTGATGAAAAGAGAAACTTGTTTAACGAGCATCAACATAAACTCATGAATAAAGGAGTTCTTGCAGTTCTTTGTGCACCATTAGGTATATTATAAAATCAGGAAGGTTCCAGTTTATGATCTTTGTGTTTCCAGAGGTGGGCAGCACAGACACAGAGGAGCGTCTCCAGGATCTGATTATTTCTCCATGAGGAGTGACATTTCCAGAGATGCCCCTCCAGACTTAAGGAATCAACCCAGACGCTCACACACAAAGTAAGAGACCACATCTTCTGAGAACAGACCTGATGGTCAGCTTTCAGAGCGAAGAATGTTTTTTAAAGCAGAACTATTAGTTCACATATATCTCTCTATTCCAGGAAACTTTTTATTGATTATATTAGATATATATATATATATATTATATTTGAGTTATATCTGTCTGATAGGTTACCTTTGTTTATGTAAATGAGGAGTTTTCCTCACACACACTGGAGGTTTTCTGGGATCTGTAGTAGACCTGATACTTTACACCTTTTAAACCCTTAAAAAACTGCATATGCTGCAGAACTGAAGAAGCCTCTTGGGTCAGAAGTGAAACATCTCCATAAAAAAACGTAAAGAAGTCCTGTTGCCTTCTCTTCAAGCTCCTAAACTACCATGACCTGGATGACTGAGAAACTACACACACGTTTAATCAGATACTCACTCAAAATAAAATCTTTCTTTCTCCTGTTTTTCTGTTCACGTGGCTGCAGACACATCTGGTCAGCCCCCAAACTTTGAGATAAAATTCAAAATGAGGAGTAATTTACCGGTTTGAGGATGTTGTCTTTGTACTGTAGTGTAAAGGGGATTGAGCTGATTTATATTTGACACAGTTTTAGAGCTGTTGGTGCGAGCTATAGACCCACCTCACACCTTTTTTGCCTTTGAAAAAGTTGTTTTTAAGCAGCCTGCTGAGCATCTGTCAACAAACAATCTGTTTGAGCCATTTCAGTCTGTTTTTAGACCAAATCACTCCACAGAAACGGCCTTAATCAAAGTGGTAAACCATCTGTTGGTGAATGCAGACAATGATCGCACTTTACTTTTATTACTGCTAGATCTACGTGCTGCCTTTGACACTATGGATCCCTGCATTTTATTGCATAGGCTAGAACATTTTATTGGAGTTACAGAAATTTTTTTTTTTTTTATCATGGCTGAGATCCTGCCTGTCTTAAAAATGATCTTCTGAGACCTGTGCAGTCAGGCATGTATATGTCGACAATATTTTCACAGACTGGCCTTTAAGGTGTCGTGGATAAATACAACAAAATGAAACCAGTACTGGTACCAAAAAACCAAAGATTTTTTCATAAGACACGGGAAAAGACCCAGGGAAACCAAGTTACCCATAAAAACTATAAAAAATGACGATAAAAACACTGAAAACCATAAATTTCACACCCGAGCCTCAACTCTCGCAGCCCGAGACCAAGTGACTCACGGACTGGTACTGGTCCCTGGCCCGGGGGTTGGGGACCGCTGCTTTAGTCCTTTTAATCTGATTCTGACACAATAAGAGCAATTTGTGATTTATTCTACATTTGTGCACAGACAGAGAGCGGCGTCTCCAGGATCCGATTATTTCTCCATGAGGAGTGACATTTCCATAGAAGCCCCTCCAGACTTAAGGAATCAACCCGGACCCTCACACACAGAGTAAGACTCAGTTTGTGCTGTAAACAGAGGTGAAGGTGACTCATGTTGAAAACTAAGAATGCATTCCCATGAAAACAGCAAAGCTTCAGTGATGAAAAGAGAAACTTGTTTAACGAGCATCAACATAAACTCATGAATAAAGGAGTTCTTGCAGTTCTTTGTGCATCTAATATAAAAACAGGAAGGTTCCAGTTTATTATCTTTGTGTTTCCAGAGGTGGGCAGCACAGACACAGAGCAGAGTCTCCAGGATCCAACTGTTTGTCTATGAAGAGTGACTCCTCCAGGAAAGACCCTCTATACTTCAGTAATAAACCCGGACCCTCACACACAAAGTAAGAGACCACTTCTTCTGAGAACAGACCTGATGGTTAACTTTCAGACTGAAGAACAACGCTTTCTTAAGCAGAACTATTAGATCACATATATCGCTTTATTCTTGGAAACTACTTATTGATTTAAAAACTGGGTTTATAAGGTATAACACAGTCGTGTATTCCAGCCCTAACCACCACCTTAATCGTGTTAGGCAGTATTTTCCAAAGCGATTTAGGTAGAATAAACGTACATGTGTAGATTCATTCTAAATGGTTATATTGTTTCCGCATTTTTCTGAACTTGTAACATAGGGACATGTTGGGTGGCCAAAGTGTAATATACAGACGATTTGTCACCTAGCGTAAAATGTTATGCTTTGGGAGTGAGAACATGTTGCTGAACTACCATGACCTGGGTGACTGAGAAACTACACATATGTTTAATCAGATACTCACTCGAAATAAAAACCTTCTTTCTCCTGTTTTTCTGTTCATGTGGCTGCAGACACATCTGGTCAGCCCCCAAACTTTGAGATAAAATTCAAAATGAGCAGTTATTTACCGGTTTGAGGATGTTGTCTTTGTTCTGTTATATAAAGGGGATTGAGCTGATTTATGTTTGACACAGTTTTACAGCAGTTTAGGTAAAAGTGTTTTGACTTCCACAGTTTAAAATGCTCATCTACAATTAACACTGGAAAAAAGAAAACAACTCCATTCTTCAGCA